CCACAGGATCCAGGCAGTGAGGGAGGAAGCAGCATAGAGGCAAGAGCTGTGGTAACTGAAATACCAATCAGCTGCAGAACCACAAGCAGGTAAGACCTGAAGGCAAACCAGGTCCTGGGAAACTGTGGTACAGGTGAGTCAGGCCCTGGGAGACTGCAGTGAGGGTGGGCTAGGCCTGATGGGCTGCTGTGTGGGCAAGCTAGGCACAAGGGGCTGCTTTGCAGAAAGTAAATATTAGTCATCCCTCTCCCCAAGTGCACTGATGGCCTGTAACCATTGGAAGATCAAGGTGTGGCAGGAAAGATCACAGTCTGGGAGAGCAAGCCAAATTCATCTCCTCTAGACTCTCTCTGGAGGTCACTAGTATGTCCTAGGGCTACAGCATGAGGGCATTCACAATTTGGTGCATTGGCTGGTAAGGCAGTCAGGGAAGTAATCCCCTCTTTAAGGAAGATTGAAGAATTTAAACCCTGGAAAATAAGGACCCTAGGGCTGGAGAAATGGAACCTATATTAAAGATGCTTGCCCAGCAGCAAGCCAATAAAATGATGCAATGGCAGCAGGAAATGGAGGAAGCACAAAAGAATCAACAGGGATGGTTGCAAGTAATCCAGAGGCATGAGGTCAGGACAGGGGGGATGTTAAAGATGCAACTACAACAAGAAGAGACTGACAAAACAGCAGAAGCTGATCAAATAGATCATGGCTCAGAAACTAGAGGGGTCAGTGCCAGAGGAAAATGTGTGGAAAGAGCTTAGTAATTTTACACCTGAAAAACTGACCTGAAAAGATAATCCGGAGACTTTCCTTGAGGCCTTCAAACTGGCAGCAATGGCTACCTAGTGGAGTAAAGACATTTGGGCCCCTGAATGGGGATGCTACTGATGGAGGAAACAAGCAGCGTTCAAAGCCCTGCCCTGTGACGATGCCAGGGACTATGAGAAGGTGAACGTGGTTATACTGACCTTGCTAAAAGATTTCTGAAGAAACATACTGGCAAAAATCCTGGGCCCCCAAAACCAGGGACAACAAAAGACCCTTACTATTGAACCACATGCTCCAAGATGATGCCTGGAGTGGCTCCACCCAGAAGCGAGAACAGCTGGAGAGGTAGAGCAGATAGTACTAGAGCAATTCATTTGGGATTTGGGAACTACTAATAGAGAATGACTGAGAAGCAGTATTTGGAAGAAGGGGCATGACAACTCTTTAGAGGATGGATGTTTTTTCTTGTTTATTTCCTTTTGGTACTTACTAGTTTTCTGTTCCTTTTTTGGGAGTCAAATCCTAAAGGATAATAGCTCAACTTATCAATGGGAGGTAAGGAGGTAGGATGTATGGGAGGTGGACCCCTGCAGAAGGACCCAGTCAGGAAACCCATGATAGAGATCTGATCACAGCCACATAGAAATTAGATGCAGCCTCCTATCTTTCAAGATTACATCAAAGTTGCAGTGGGCAAAGTGTAGTGGATGACTGTGATCTGTGGCTGTCCAGTGCTCAGGGGATGCCAGTGCAGGTATGCTATGTCACCTGTGGACATCCAGGACCTATGCTCAGATGACTATGAAAGGGTGAACCCATGAAATATCAGTGTGTTTGGTAGATGGACTGCCTTACCTAGTCTTGCTGGAAAGAGAATGTCTCAGTTTCAAGAAGCTCCTAAGGAGGATCTTGGGAGAACACCCCCAGAGAGCCCCAAGGCAAGGGGAGGATGAGGAAACACCATAAAATAAAGCCCAAAGAGGGGGGTGCCCCTGAAAAACAAACTAAAGGCCTCATAGGGCAAGGACAAGTAGATGAGGCAGAGGGGCCAAGATAGGAGGAAGAGGGGAATTGGAGGGAGCAGGGTCTAACTCATCTGCATGAAGAACAATAGGACCCAGAGGTAAGGATGTAAGAAATATCATCAACCAGAGTCAATTAAGGGTTCAGCA